CTTTTCTACATTTTCACACCCTCTTGACACCTGCTCACACTTGAACAATCAACTACCTACCACCTTTCTTCTCACTCAATACCAATTTTAACCTTGTCAAATTTCTAACTTTGTGACGTTGAGTACTACCTAATTTACAACTTCCATTTAAATTTTTTTACTTCTAAAGCCACTTCTGAGTAATTATATATCAATTGTGTCACCCTTCCGCCTATAACTCAATAATAGACTGCTATACACCATTGGTAAACATAAATACGACTGTGTACAGCCAGTCAGCCTGTGAAGATGATTTCGTCGATAAAGAAAATTTTTTCCCTGAATTTGTCTTTTGCTTTCTTCATAACTCAATCAACGGGTATTTTCAGTCATTACTGAAGAGTCAAAGGCAGCTAGCTATCCAGTGTTTGGTTGGTTTCCAGTTATAATCTGCTTACTATTGTCTATTCTCGATAAAATTTACTTCAATATCCATTGGGTCCTGACCAATGCCAACATTTAAGTATTCAAGTATTGGTTTGTAGGAGCATGATTGATTGGTTACAGGATTTCATCATGAGCTAATTGTACTCCCAAGTTTTCCAATGGTTTTCTAACCAATGTAACCAATCAATAAAATCCCTACAAACCAATATTTGAATTTTTATGAAATGCTCACTAGCGACTGGCCCTGTTTAGGTAGGTAGTTAGTTACCTCGGGTTCTAGTAGGACGCTGTAACCATTGAGGTACAGCAGGTCAGGTGTTAGGAAAAATACTCGCCGAAGTCACTGGTTAGCGGTCGCGCTATGTTGTCCATTGGCAGAAGCTAGAATTCATGGACTAGCCACCGAGGAGTTGGGTCCCAGTGACTGAATGGTCTACGAGCTCTCTAACCTTGTAACCAGAAGGTCCCGGGTTCGAGTCCTGTCGGTGGTTGCGTACTGCCGAGGACTCCCAAACTAGACTGGCGAAACAGGTGTCCAGTACTTTAGTGCTGGTTTTCAATGTTTCTCTAGCCAATGTCAGCTCACGATGAAATCCTGTAACCCACTTAAGAAGCATTCATCAATATTTGCAGACTCATAATCATAGTGTACCAAGGAATATTTCTGGAACATATGAGTAAATAGAGGAAAGAAAAAAAAAGAAAAGAAAATGATGAATTCATCTGTCATAGTCATCTGGTGTTATCATTGCTGCTTTTGGCTTTAACCCCTTCTATGATTAACACCTTGTTAGATAAATTCATTGTAAATATGTATGAATCGTGTTCTTATGTTTACACAATTTGTATATGTGAATGAATATACATGCGGGATGTGGATATTCTGGATGTTTCTGTCCCCCAATGTAATGAAGTGTTAATAAATCATGTTCGAATAGAAATAAGTATCTATGCTAGTCATATGCGCGTATTTCAGAGAGTAATCCAGTAAACAATCAAAACGTGATGTGTGAACACGGAAATATTCAGAATGTCACTATACTCGGATAAACTATTAATAATAATAATAATAATAGCCTAAGAAGTGAAATGATTCAAATGTTAATTGGATGAACATAATAGGTACTTAGACATTAATTCATCTCATCCGTTTACTGTTGAGACAGACTTAGTTAAGTGTCTGTCTAACAAATCGAGCCATAGCACTAAGTAGCACATCAAAAGACCTAAATGACGAAATAAAACAGATAGAAGAAGAAGAAGCGTTGGTGTTAAATAACCAACTATCCTATAAAATTCATTAGGAAGATCAATAAAGGCCAAAAACAAAATAAAAATAATGGGGGAACTACTAATCATGACATAAATAAGAGAGAATATAAGTCATCTACTGTTATACCATATAAGGAGGGGACTTCTGAGAACCTCCCGACGTAGAATTCTTAATAAAGCAAGAATTAGGGTGGCATTTAAAAATGCAAACTCACCCACTTAGAGACAAGCTCTGTAGGTTAAAGGACAGTGTCAGATGACCCAATTAGACAAAATAATATAATTTACAAAATACCTTGCAGTGACTGTGAGTTAAGTCAACTACATAGGTCAAACTAGTGGGTCAGGGATAGTCAAATTATCAGAATATAAGAATTTATCTAAGGGAAGAATGGTTGACCCTTAAAAGATAAGTAATTTAGAAAAAAGCTCAGCACTGTATTGCACTTCATGCATTAACAAACAACCACACAATAGGGTGAGGAAGGGTTAAAATTCTAAAAAGTAATCTAGTAGGTGGAGAGAGAGAGAGGTTGATTACTGAATCCTTGGTTCATTGAGTCTACACTCAACACATGCAACAGAAATGACTCAATGCAAATACCGGAAATATGGAAGATATTATTACCACCAGTCAGTCAAATCACAGGAGGATAATAAATAATCTCGAAATTCTATTTCAATTCAATTCACGTACATTACAACGTTCTAACAAGTTACTTATTTATTTGACTATAAAAACACTCGTCTTATTTCCCATCTGATTGTATTTGATTGATAACACTCATATTATTATTTCTGAATGCACATTATCCTATATTGATTTTTATTCAAATGTCTAATCATCAATTCCACTCATGTATATGAATGAAGCAAGAGGTTGTGTGAGTGAGTGACTTGATATGAGATTATGAGTGGCAATAGTTTTTGCTCGAAACGTCATCAGTTAATATTACTGTATAACAACACCGCGTGACTTATCAAAATAAAATCTTATCTATAATTGGATTAATTTTTCACGATATATTTCGTTATGAAATAACATCCGACTGGAGTATTACTGAGAAGAAAGGAGCACCGGACAAGTGTTTCCTCCTAATTTAGTAATCTGCTACAATGCACACTCAATACTCTGTTCATTGAAGGAAGAGTTTACAAATTGATAGACTGGACCGGAAATCAGGAGTCCATGAATCATAATTTCTGTGTCATCATCTAGTGTTGTTGGTGACAGTCTCTTGTCACACTGAACCTAATGCAGCCTACCGGATTCGAATTTTCATCAGGATGTCTATATCTTGTAGTCAGTCATTAGTAAACTGCCTAGAATCGGTGTCGATTCATTACCCATTTACTCAGTCGGTAGGACACTCTGTTAGGACGATTCTATTCACTATAACTAATCAAATTTGTCTTGATTTAATTTCAATTTTAATTTTCGATTTTACTTTTAGTTTGCTTTTGCTTTAATAATTAATTCACTATTATCACTCCCATATGTTCCTTCTGTACATTTTACACCCTCTTGACACTTGTTCACACTTCGACACTCAACTACCTACCACCTTTCTTCTCACTCAATACCAATTTTAACCTTGTCAAATTTCTAACCTTGTGACGTTGAGTACTACGTAATTTATAACTTCCATTTAAATTTTTCTACTTCTAAAGCCACTTCTGAGTAGTTATATATCAATTGTGTCACCCTTCCGCCTATTACTCAATAATAGACTACTATACATTTTTGATAAACATAAATACGACTGTGTACAGCCAGTCAGCCTGTGAAGATGATTTCGTTGATAAAGGAAATTTTCTTCTCTCAATTTATCTTCTACTTTCTTCTTGATTTCTTGGAAATAATGGTCAGTGAGTCAAACGGTCATATTACGCAATACGATTATTTTCTACGAAATTTACTCATTTTCAGTCTAAACCTATCAAGATTTAAACAGGGCTGCGATAATGACTAATCACCGTTACCTTGCTTAACTTCTCAACATAGATTTCGTCACATTGCGAAGTCATTTAGAGAATAGCTGAATTACATACAGCTCTTCAGTCTTTTAACTTGGAACTCTTTAACAACCCAAGATCGTGGACATGAGACTATACCAGAGACTGTCAGAAGTTAGCATTCATCGGTCATCGAATTTCAACAAATTTTTTACTTATTGGTAAATGTGTTCAGCCGGTATTGACCTTAATGTTCTAGTCTCTATCCCTGTTGAAGTCGGTCACAGGTGCCTGACATTGAACAGTACCAAAACTAGAGTGGTGAAACATCTTTCTTTAGCTCTCAGGTATTCAATAATCCCCTGACCTATAAACTTTTGTAATTTACGGTGTGTTTTCCGGCCTCTACAAAAAGCCTCATCATCCATCAACTCGGAATAATCATAAACTAATTTCTAAATTATCATACTTTACATTCAATTATAAATGGGTTCAGTTTTGGAATGAATATCAGTTACTCCATTCCGTAAATGATTGAAAAGCATTACACTCCATTATACTCCACATGAGCAGTCGATTTTTAAAAAGCTATTCTACGTAATCTTGTGAATTCAGTTGCCTACAGCAGTCTTGATGCTTTGGCGGTTCAGTGGTAGGATACTCATCAACCACTCATATGGTCCTCCATGGATCCCCCATAGGCGCACTCCTAAATCTCGTTTAGCTGCAAGTAAGCCCAGAAAAGAAAGTATTTTAGGCATTTGGTTAGCAAATTCACCTCGCAAAAAATAAGTGTCTTTGCTACCGAAACTTCACAGTTCAACCTTGAAACACTATGTCCTCCCAGGAACCCAAATTCTACAGAGTTTCTTTTGAAAACCTTTATATTATCAGTTTAACCAAGTAACTAACAAGAATTTGGACAATTTGTAACTGATTCTGCTGTCTGAACTTTGGTAGACTACTGATAGGCATCATCCAAAATGAGTGAAATGAACTGTCTGATGTGCTCAGATAACTTCAATCTGCCTGATAGGATCCCACATATTTTGGTATTGACTGTTTAAACTTGCATTTATGGTATGTTATCATTCTCACACATTTTGGTATTGACTGCTAATTTTGTATATTATCATTCTCACGCATTTTGGTAGTGACTGCTAATTTTGTATATATGGTATATCATTCCCACACATTTTGTTACTGACTGTCAATGTCGCACATATGGCATATTAGCATTTCTCACACACTTTGTTATTGGCTATTAAGGTAAATTATTTCAAATGCTGTTAGCTGTCCATATTGTTGTAAACTGTATAAATACCATGGTTTTCTTTATCGTTGTTGCACCTCAATACACAGTCACAGTCCAGCCTTTGTCTTTTGATATTTGCGTGCTTTACCAAGTCGGAAGGTACGACGAGCAGATAGACAGATTAGTTCAGGCGCAGACAGAATAAGGTGAAAACGTCTTCATTCAATTCCCTACAGATATAACAAATTGGCGACGGGGTTTACCTTAATTCAGTGAAGATATAACAATTGGTGACGGGGTTTACTTTAATTCATTGCAGTTATAGCACGCAACGACGACAGTTTTTATTCTGTTCAGCGCAACTATATAACATATAAGTTCAGGCGCAGACAGAGCAAGATATAACAATTGGCGACGGGGATTTACTTTAATTCATTGCAGTTATAGCACGCAACGACGACAGTTTTTATTCTGTTCAGCGCAACTATATAACATATAAGTTCAGGCGCAGACAGAGCAAGATATAACAAATTGGCGAACGGGGATTTACTTTAATTCATCGCAGTTATAGCACGCAACGACGACAGTTTTTATTCTGTTCAGCGCAACTATATAACATTTTTGACTGTGTTAATTACAACCCAATTATAATGTCTATCTCTCTGGACGATCTTCCGGTGACTGCAGTTGAGGTTGCCAGACACACACTGCGTGATCCAGTTTTACAGCAAGTATCAAAGTTCATCCGATTTGGCTGGCCTCCACATGTTCATTCAAATGTTTTAAAACAGTTTTACCAGCGACGCAAATCCCTATCCATCGTTAATGGATGCATAATGTTTGCTGATCGTGTTGTCGTTCCAGCTAATCTTCGTGACCATGTGCTTCGGCAGCTTCATATATCACATCCTGGTGTTGGGAGAATGAAGGCGATCGCTCGCAGTTATGTTTACTGGCCCAACATCGATGACCATATCGAAGACCTCGTTCGCAAGTGTAGTAAATGTGCTCAAGCATCAAAGTGTCCACGCAAGACAGAACTATGTTCCTGGCCACGACCGGACAAACCATGGTCCCGTGTTCATGTTGACTTCGCTGGACCGTTCAATAGTATGCATTTCTTAATATGTGTCGACGCGTTTTCCAAATGGCCAGAGATATTTCCTATGCATTCTGCCACATCAATTGCAACAGTGTCCCTCCTACGTCAACTATTACTGAACGTTTCGTCGACACCTTTAAGCGTGCTTATGCAAAAGCGAAGGGGGAGGGAACAACAGAAAAAATTTTGGATAAATTCTTGCTGCATTATCGTACGAATGAAAAAGGACAGTTATGTGGCAGACACACAGATCACGCTCTATCCAGTACCACGCAAAGGTCAACTCGACAAAGAAGAGCTCCGAAACCTTTTCAAATAGATCCAAAAAGCAAGTCCTACACTCTTTACGGGGGGAGGTGATAGGATCCCACATATTTTGGTATTGACTGTTTAAACTTGCATTTATGGTATGTTATCATTCTCACGCATTTTGGTATTGACTGCTAATTTTGTATATTATCATTCTCACGCATTTTGGTAGTGACTGCTAATTTTGTATATATGGTATATCATTCCCACACATTTTGTTACTGACTGTCAATGTCGCACATATGGCATATTATCATTTCTCACACACTTTGTTATTGGCTATTAAGGTCAATTATTTCAAATGCTGTTAGCTGTCCATATTGTTGTAAAATGTATAAATACCATGGCTTTCTTTATCGTTGTTGCACCTCAATACACAGTCACAGTCCAGCCTTTGTCTTTTGATATTTGCGTGCTTTACTAAGTCGGAAGGTACGACGAGCAGATAGACAGATTAGTTCAGGCGCAGACAGAATAAGGTGAAAACGTCTATCATTCAATTCCCTACCGTTATAACAAATTGGCGACGGGGTTTACCTTAATTCAGTGCAGTTATAACACTGCCTAACATGCACTCCAGCAGAATGACTCCTCTGGAAATCCACTTTGAACAATCTATGTATATTACTGGTATTTTTATGAGTATTTAGGCTAGTTTTGTGATTCTTACTCTTTGCCCCTGACGGGTATATCATCATCGTAACAATTTGCATAGCTTCTTAAGACTTAATCCTTACTGTTAATATATAAATTTGAATGTAACATCTATTCTCTATAACATCTGTGTATCTAAATGAGCACCTACGGTTGAGTGATTTTTTATTATTACGTAACCACTTAAGAAAACTTACTAATTTCGTAAAAACCTTTTTCTGTTTGTTACTTTTTGATTAGTCATCATTAGTGACTCACAAGTATCTTGTAGATTTTGATGAATTTATGATGGATGAGAGAGTGATGTTTTGATTTTCTTCTTCTGTCAGTTTTGTTGCTATGCTTACCGATATTATTGTTTATAAACACAATTATACAACCATAGGAATGAATTCATGAAGAGAAGAGGAGGTGTTTCACTGAACGAATTACTCTTCTGTCTTGTCTTTAATATCTCAATGGTTCTACAACTCACTGGTTCAAGCTTTCGACTTACAGATAGTAGGTGCCGGGTTTGAATCGTCTGTCACTTCATTCGTCTTCAAATAACACTTATTTGGTTACAGACTAGCGTGTGTTAGGAATCTGATTTAAGTTACTGGGTTCTAACATAACATCTTTCTTCTATCCTCTGGTTTTATATTCTGCTGACATATCATATATATGACAAACTGTCTCAATCCTCCTTAACTCTAAGTTCTGAAAGAACCTTCACTCTCCTGGTTTATTAGCCTAGTGAAACGATGACCACTGAGTTCATCTCCCTCCCACTCACCCGTCGGGAAGACTATCACTAAATGGGATAGGTACAGGTACATTCAACTGGGATGTAGCAAGTAGGACAGAATTCGTATTCTGGATGTCATTGTTAGCCAAAAATCACTAAATGACCTTCAGTATGTCTAACATATACTTATTACTACCCCATAATTACATAATACATTTGTTTATTTCTCATGTAACCTTTTGGAAAGGCTTCTCTCTCTCTCTATTTCTACGGCAAAGATGAAGAAATGGTAGTTTAAGGAGAACATATTATACAGGGATATTGCATAATCACTGTGAGGTCAAGTGTCTAGTCTAGAGTTATTAAACGTTAGTTGTTACCTTTAAAAATGTGTACAACAAGTGTCTGTATGTGAGTGATAAGGTCAGTCATATTTTAATTTTACAATCAAAGTACAAACTACATATTTTTGTTACAAAAATTCTGATTTACTGTATATTGTTTAAATAATTAATTAATTCAGCCACCCGAGACCCGACTCAGTGGCCAGTCAATGAATTCTAACTTCTATCTATTCGTGATTTCAGCGTGACCACCAGTTAATATCACTGGAGAGCGTCTTCTATCACGCCCAACATCGTGACCCTACACTGGTCACGATTTCTCCCTAGAATGCCAGTCAACTTCATCCTGTAGCCATAGTCATCGGCTGCTGGTCGAGCAGAATACATGGGCTGGCCAGTGAGTTGGGTCCCAGTAACTGAATGCCTGCCTTGTAACCAGAAGTTCCTAGGTTCACAACCCAGTGGGTGCCTACTGAAACTGAGTCCCGAACTAGGGTGACGAAACAGCTGTTAAGTACGGCCTGGTTACCAATGGTTCTCTAACTGATATCAGTCCATAGTCAAACTTGGAAAGCATCATTTGAATGCGCCAATGATAACTGTGGTTACATTAGTTTGTTACAATTTTAGGCCATTTTGGTTTCCTGATTTCTACTTCCAGTTTTATTCTTCACAGATCTTCTTTAAGGTATACGATTAATTAGCGATGGTCAGACTATGTGGAATAGCCTCAGATTGACACACTATGCTTAACTGCAATGGTTGATGAGTGTAGATGAAAGAAAAGTTGAGTTTTGAATCAACAACCTCTAGATTACTAGTCCGCTGCTGCAACCATCAGCTGAGCTGCGACACACTGACTATAATTAATTTTTTTAGTTACAGCACTTCATTATGAGCTGACACTGGTTAGAAAACCATAGAAAATGAGCACTCGGGTACTGGACAGCGGTTTTGTCCTAGTTTGAAACTCTTCAGCAGTACGCACCCACCGCGATTCGAACCCAGGACCTTCCGGTTACAAGGCGAGCTCGTATACCATTGAGCCACTGGGACCCGCCAGCCAATGTCATCACTGGCGAGTATTTGTCCCCACACCCGACCTGCTGCACCCTACTGGTCACGACTTCCCACTGGAACCCAGGTAACTACCTACCTGAATAGGGCCAGTCGCCAATGAGCATCTCATTGGTATTTAAGTGTTGGTTTGTAGGGATGAGATTGGTTTCAGGATTTCATAATGAGCTGACATTAGTTAGCGAACGAGCTCGCCTTGTAACCGGAAGGCCCTGGGTTCGCATCCCGGTGGGTGCGTACTGCTGAAGAGTCCCAAACTAGGACGAAACAGCTGTCCAGCACTCCCAGGTTTTCCAATGGTTCTCTAACTAATGTCAGCTCATGATGAAATCCTGAAACCAATCAAATCCCTACAAACCAACATACATAAATGTTATTTTGTATGTATGTGTACATTAAGTTTGCCAAACAAAAATACATTTCGTTATGGTTATTTTAACTAAACACATGAAGATTGGTAATACAAGTCAAGAAAATTAGGTGTTAGTGAAACTAGGGTAGTAACACAGGTGATGAGTTGTCACAAACAGTTGTTAAAAGAAGTTATGTAATAATGATATGAATAGTTTGATGATTGAGTTTAACTCAGGATGCACACCTGTAGTCTCGACGTTCTGGAAACAGAATTAGATATTCTAAGAGGAATCTTCATCTGAAATGGATACCCAATAAGATTCATTGACAAAAATATCAAACCAAGAATTCGGAGAAACGAAACTTTAATTTAACCAAAAAAGGAACTCTACATGAACTTGGATTTCAACGTAGGTTTCACAAGCAATATTCTCAAGAGAAGGATCACATTATCTCTGAGAAGAACATTCTTTGGAGCAACACTAAGAATGGTGTTCTCCAGTCGCTCACTGTTCTGCAGAAGCCTCAAGGACAAGATCCCCCATCTGACCACTTCTATGTGCATATATCAGTTCATCTGCTGCTGTGGAGCCAGGTACAGCGGTCTTTCGACGCGCATCCTGTCCAAGAGGATTCAAGAACACTATCAGCAGCATGGTTGCGAGAAGGCAATAGTGGTGCAATAAGCAGTGTGATAATTGAATACCTGGTTAACACTGATCATTCCATCTCAACAAACGCCTCCTGTTTCAAAGTAATCTGCAGAGTGAAGAATAACATGTCAAAGGCAATACGGTTTCGTCTTCTTTGTATCACTGAAGTTCCAGCCATTCACATAGAAAAACCGGAGCTGTGCATACAAAAGAGAATTATTCAACCACCTCTACTGTCATGGTAACAACTTGATGACTTAATTTTGTTTGTTTGCCTGTTCTTTAATTGCTTATAACTCTTCTGTTCATTTAGAACTCTTACCTAATTTCGTATTATCTACTTTGCTCCGATGTGCATCCTGAGTAAAACTCACTCATCAAACTATTCATATCATTATTACATAACTTCTTTTAACAACTGTTTGTGACAACTCATCACCTTTGTTACTACCCTAGTTTCACTAACACCTAATTTTCTTGACTTGTATTACCAATCTTCATGTGTTTAGTTAAAATAACCATAACGAAATGTATTTTTGTTTGGCAAACTTAATGTACACACACATACAAAATAACACATGCACATATATTTGGGATTGTACAGCTATGAAAATGAACTGACCGGCGAAAAGAGACTCTTCGCTGATCTACGTGTTTGTTTTCAGTAATGCCTGGATGGGGGTCATCCATGAATCCTGTAGACTTCATTTTTTGACTGTTTTCAAACTGAAGTGTTTGAGTCTTCTTCTTGAAAAGCACTACAGTTTTATTACAGCTACTGACATCAATTAGCATTATATACCGCCCTGCCAGGACTCGAACCATTAACTGGTGAATCACGGTGATACGATGTCTGACTGACTGACTGACTGATTACTAAAACGGACACCAATCCTAGTCATCTCTATTCATCAGTTCTATTCAGTTGTCGTGTGGATGATTGTTGAGTAAATATCGATCCTGATCCTCCCTATTACCACACTACGCTCAAACCAACCATACCTTCTCATATCCTACACACACACTAATCATGCTGAATTCAACTAGCTGACTGACAACATGAGTAAGTAACACTATTTTTTCTTCATTTTTGTGCATCCACAAGTAGAAATTTACGGTTCATTGGGTTGCATAGACTTTCATTCACATCTTTCAGATGAGTAAATATAATCTGTTTGCATCATTTAAGAAAAACTTCCTTTTTTTAATTATTCATTTCTTTTACTTGACTTCTTTACATATTTGTTGATTTTATTCTCTCTCTCTCTTTATTATCACTTCTCGAAAGGAAAGTGTACACGATCCCATTTGTTTTCAAACCCCCTCCCCCAAAAATTCCCCTCTCACTCCTGATGAAATCGCATATCAACAATACAAGTGTATCCAAGCGGAATGACTATTAGAAAAGAAAATAACTTTCTCTCATAAAGAAACTCCAGTTGCTATGCCAGTTGACTGACTCAGTGTGATGGCGTAGAAACAAAAAATCTGATTTATAAAAATAATAATTATTATTAAAGATCTTCATATGTTGAGTTAGTGATGGTCCAATTGATTTGATGATAATAGATGGTTGGTAGGATAACGCGCTTTTCGACTACTGTGTTACATTTCCCTTATTTATAAAAACTCTCGTTTCTGTAAAATTTCATGCCAAGAGTTTGTGGAAACTATCACAATTATTTACCTTTCGAACACTAAAACTGTGTACATA